TCACTGGCCAGTGCAAAAAGAAGGCACCTATGTGGAGAAGGCCAAAAATAGTCATTGCTGTTACTCTCTCCAGTGTACGGTCCTGTCAAGGAAACATATTTTATTACCTTATAAAATGAAAAAATAAAAAAATAAAATAAAAAAAAACAAAATAAAAATAATAAAATAAAATAAATAAAATAAAATAAAAAAATAAAAAAATGAAAAAAATAAAATAAAAAATAAAAAAATTAAATATTCTTCTTTCTCTCTTAGGAAAAAAAAAATGGAGAGTAGGAGGGCAGGGCTGACAATTCCAGCTTTACCCTCAGGACACCCCATTCTATCAGCACCACCCTCCCAAAGGGTAGAAGCTGCCCTGGGAGCAGGTAACCGCAAGCTCCTTCCCCCTCCGTGCCATTTACTCGGGGTGGGGGGGGTGACCTTGGATAAGACTTTGCGTCTCAGTGACACGGCTTCCCCATCTGGGAATTGAGGGTATTAGCAGGAGTGTTGTGTTGGCAAATTCGTTATTAGTTTTGAAGCGCAGCGGTGCCATGGTGACGAAGGACACCTCAGCCGACAGCCTGACGTGCAGTATTGACAAGATTTGCCTCACAATTTCTCCAATCTCAGTCTTCCAATCTCAGTCTTCCAATCTCAGCTGTAAAAGCGTGTTTATAGCCCCATTAGAGCAGAGCAAGGGCTTCCTTTCTCTGCCCGGTCACGCTGGTGCTGCTGAGGGGTGACGCTGCTGAGCCTCTCCTCTCCCAGGCAGTTTTTGTAGTTTTAAGAATGGAGAAATGGGAGCATCGGAGCTACAAAACGTGCTGCAACCAACTCATGGGGCTGATGCCGAGGGGCACGGTGCCTGGGAAAGCCACCGTGTCCCTTCGCAGGAGTCACATCTGTGGGCAATCACATCTCCTGGGACACAACAGAAGTGGAAAGAGGGGGAGAGCCAAGCACCAGTCACTCTATGTCCTGGCAGAGATCAGGCCCTAATCTATTGTAGAGAAGCTAAAATAACAAGCCTTTAATCCCTGTATCATGTTGAACGGGTCAAGTATGGCTCAGGAGATGAGAGGGGACAGCAAAACCTAATTCCCGGTATTTTTTGCCGTCGTATGGTTTTGTTAAAAATGGGATTATCGAATGAGACACCAGCAGCTGTTCTTAAAAGCGCTTGCACCCATCTGCTGTCTCCTTAGGTTAGCATATGTCTCCCACCGTCTCCGGTGCCCTGAGCCGTAAACCACACGCCGGAGCTGCCAGAGGGTGGGAGCCAGCCCTTCAGGGAGCAGGGAAGGGGAGCCACGGCATCCTCTTTACACAGAGGGGAAAGTCCTTGTTTCACTAGACAGCGGGGACCGGGTGGCTTTGGCTAATCCCGGCCGGTTTCCCCCAGCAGGGAGTGGTAGCTGTTATTTTAGGGCTTAAATAAGCCTTAAAAAGCCAGAGCGGCAGACGGGGGGGGGTCTCTGTGGCTGCCCGGGGGCTGCCAAGGCAGCCTGTGTGCCTGCCATGTGTGGGCTGTGTGTCACCTCCCCGGGGGCTGCCCGGGAGATGAGACACGCCGTGTCCCCCCCCTTCCGCACCCCGGCCACACCAGCCCAGAGATGGTGGCTGCCTGTCCCAAGGGTGTCCCAGCCCTTCCTCCTCCCCAAAAAGGAGGTAAAAATAGAAGACAATAAAATGGAAATGCACATCCTTAGGACACGGAGGCAGCCTCCCGGCATGCAATCAACGCTCTTAGTTCTTGGCATTGTGAAAATGTAGAGTTTGTTGAAATAACCCGCTTCACACAATGCTAAACAATAAGGCTGAGAAATAGTTGGGCGAGGATGACTTCACCCTCCCCAGAAACCACACTGAGAAAGTACAAGAGATCCAAAAACCGACACCGAGGGGGGGGACTGAAAGGCAATGCAAAGTCACTGCTCAGCCTGGAGAAATGCAGGAAAGAAACCAACGGTCCCAACCAAGAAGCCACAAATGAAAGCTCATTAGCATGTCAAAATTCTTTCAGCTCCAGCAAGTTTTGATAACTATTGATAACACAGTTCAGTAATTTCTTCTGTGAGCCTGACAGATGGCTGCTCCTCTTAAGAAATCCTCTTCCCTCTCTCACCCTCCTTTTGATCAAGGGACAGGATGACCTGCACACTCATGTCATCTGCCATGGTGTCGGCCTTCTCAGAGATATAAAATAGTAATATCTCCTAAGCTCCTTCCTCGTATATTTTATTACTACATCTTAAACCATTTTGCAGACAAGGTGACTGACATTATCCTTACTTTACAAGTGATGAAACCGAGGCCCAAGGAACCCAGGAGGCACCTACAAGGTCACCCCGTCGACCATCGGCAGACTTGGGAGTGGAGCTCTGGAGCAGAGGAACCACAAAACACTTTACTGTGTTGGATCCAACTCGCAGGACTGGGCACTTTTAGCCACACACACTGCACTCCTGCTTCCCCCTCTGCATTTTCTATTGCCCCCCGTAACAAATTCACCTTGGTGGGAGCAGTGGGGTAAGGTCAGGGTAATACCATGCACTGGAAAAAGTCTCTGGACAGTGTTCTGTGTTACACTGGTGTCAGACATCTGCTTCCCAGCTCACTTTAATCACCTCAAAATCTTTCCATGCCCGAATGCGTACCCAGGCCTTTAAAATATGGGACAAAAAAAAAGGAAAATTTTCTTTCTGAATCAAAAATGTGATGAATTCCACCTGAGGTTTGTCACAGACAGGGATATGATGCCAGCCCTCCTATAGGCACGTGCAGGAGAGGGTATGGGCTGCACCGCCTGTTAGCACACACGTAAACACGCTCCTGTAAATGTAATGTTTCCAGAGATGCAAATAGCTTACAAAGAACAGCTAAATTTCCACTGATAGATGCCAGCCTGAGGTGTAATTCTTCTTACAGCATCAAATGGGTTGCATTGTCTGTGTAAATCCCTTGGGGGCTCGAGTTTTGGGGGATGAAAGACGGTATGAGATGTAAGGTACCACCGCTAGCAGCTGCCATTCTTGTCTATCTAACAGATGGCAGTAAATAATGACAGACTTGTCTCTTTCAGCAACAGTGGGATAAAAACACTGAGAAATCTGCCTGCCTCCCCAATTCAGGGCAGCCAGCTCTCCTGGGCTGGAGCAGAGCACTCCGACCCCCGGGGTGCACCTTCCCCTGCCCACAGAGCGAGGATGCAGTAGCCCCCCGTGCTGGCTGCCAGCACCAGTTTCACTCCCCCACTCTCAAACTGGCCAGCTCGGTCTCATTCACAGCTGAGCTCCACTGAAAACCTGTGGACCTCCCTAAATCTCTTGTCTTTTACCAAAGAGGGATTGCTGCTTGCAGATGCTTCCCTCCCGAGCTGTGTATAACCCTGCTCTGCAGCCCCGGAGCCATCAGCTCTCACTCTGGTTTCACACCCCTGCATCTTCAGTTCTTGTTTTTCATTTCTCCGTGACTCTAAATCTGAGTAGACGGTTGGAGCATCCATTTCTCTTTCATCCCTATCCGTCTGGAGCTCTGAGACTGTCCAAACCACTTCCACTTCCATCACATCTCACCTTGAAACCTCCCTTTCCCTCCCCTACTTAGCAGGAGCTCCTTGGGAATTCTCAGAGACTGTAAGACGAAAGATACCCTGGAAAAATATGTCTTGATTGCCCGAGCCTATGACGTTCTTCCAGCATGCAAATACCACCATGTCGAAAAGAGTACAGTTACTCTGACATGCACATCAGTGACATACAATACATTTTCTTCAGCAAGTACGTATCCAGCATGGATGCACCAAGCAGTATCACAGAAATAATTCCTTCCTACTGACACATGGCACAGCAAAAAGCTGATTTCTGTAGCTGTGCTAAATGGTGTTGTGTGCTTCCCCCTATAGAAGTCAGGCTCCTGCCAGCACCTTGTGTTTCCTTTCCTCACCCCGCTGGCTGAAGTGACCGGCCAGGAGAGAGCAGATTTGACTGATAAAAGCAAAAGTTACTCATCTCACAACTTCCCAGCCCCCACACCTCGCCTATGGAAGGAGAGCAGTAATAAGCCTCACTCCTACTTGGAGAGGAGCAAAAGAAAAAGCTGTTCCCTGAATTCCCATAATACACATTTAAAGAGGTATTTGTTTAGGAGGGATGCATGTACGGAGCGTCCTCCGGCACCGCGCAAAGCCATCCTGCCACCCACGCCTTCCAACTGCTGAAAGCAATTACTTTCCTCCCCTGCTCTCAGCACTAGCACAGGATGCGCAGGGTCTCCACAGGTCACGAACAGAAACTGGGTTTTACTTTTTTTTTGCTCTTAAGAAATCAAGGGAAGCAGGAGCTTCCAGCACAACGGTAGGAAAATCTTCCAAAGAGCTTCTTGAACTGGCCTTGACTATGCAGCAATTGAAGCTGTTTCCTGATCCGAGTCCTTGCTGCCTGCTGGAGATTTGGC